AAAAACCATTTTGTGGGAGAGCGGTGTGATTTTTTGGAGAGGTTGGACCTCAAATAAACTTACCCTGCTGTAATTGTGCCTATCCTTATTTGACAGAAATATAGTGCAGATTGTTGAATCTGACTTGATCAGTGTTTTTCAAAGTTGGCAACTTTAAGATATGTGGACTTCAACTCCCAGAATCCCCCAGCCTGCAAGTTTGAAAAACTCTGGACTAAATATATACTAGAATGCCCAATTAGAATATTGATGTTTATAGTATATTTAAGAATGTTTAATTGTATGTTCAGTTAAATTGTTTTCTTCTTCTGTTGCTGTCTTTATTCAGTAAAGTATAAAAAGATGAAACAAAAACAGTTGATTAGCAACTTGCAGAGCTTTATGTGCTGCATTTCACAAATGCTTCATTTACATATAGTGTGTTTAATATGTAGGTGTATACTTTCCCCCCAACAATTATATAGTGAAACCCCTTCAGATGTTGCTCTAACTTTATTTTTATTTTGTTTTCCCCAGGATATTTCAAGAAGCACAGAAATATTGGCAAAATTGGTGACACCTAACGACATTCATAACATCTACACTTAAAAATGACTTGTGATCCTTCAAATTTTGATTAAGCTTCTGTATTTGTAAACTGCAACTACTTTGGAACACAGGGCCCTTCATAAGTGGGTCATGCACTAGTTTTTGTATCACTGGTCATTTGGGGGAGGGTTAGGCTGATTTAAAAATTAAAATATGACCTTTTTATTTTATACAAGTAGAAGAAAATATATTTTTTCTTAAGAATATTTTATGCATTTTGCTTCCTACCCATGTTACAACATGGTTACCACTAGACATATTGCTGCAACAATTGTGATAGATTTGAGGGGAGGAAGCAAAGGGGGCAGAACAGTTTCTTAAAATCAGTAGCAACTACTCAAGCATGGTGAGAGGAAAAATGCACACAGTAGAAATAGCATGAAAGCAGAAGGCTGGTGTTAGATGATTGAGTCAGAAAAACATTAAGGAAGCTTGAACAAAAGAGATAGAGTTTTGGAAAAAGAATTCTTGGAATTAGTGGAAAGAGAAATGATGTAGCAGAAGTTGTAATTACAGTGTATATGTTCACACAAAGAGCAGTTATACTACATAGGTTTTGTTGAGCTTGACAGTGTTTGCTTCTGATTGCAAGGCTTTGACATTTTGAATACATGCTTAAAAATCTCCACTCAGTTAAACTGCAAAATTTAGCTGATAATAAAAATACACACTTTGCAAAGCGGTTGTTGTGGCCTACCAGCAGACAGATTCAGACAGTGAGGAGGTTGGGGAGGAACATGGGCCACTCCTGGAGTCTGGGGAAGGCTCTGACGAGTGCTCTGCATCGGAAACAGAGATGGGGCCAGGGCCATCTGATAGTTACCAGTTGCCTTCGGAGTCAGAGATCAGTGAGGCACATGAACAGCTAAGGAACAAAGGTCGACTTGAGAGTAAGGCAGTGGTGGGTTTCAAAAATTGTTGGAACCTACTCTGTGGGTGTGGGCTCCTTTGTGGGAGTGGCTTGCCACCCATGTGACGGTGGGAGTGGCCAAGATGATGTCACTAGTACAAAAACAATAAAANTATATATTTGATTTGGGTGTATCAGGCAAAACCTTTTTAAAAAATCAAGACCTGGTTAAGGTAGGTCCAAGACACGCGTACACATAGAAAACTGAATTAGAGTGAATTAGACATTTTATTCATTTATTATAGGACTCTTCCACCAAATGAAGGCATCAAACTGATCTTGGCATAGGATTCAATCTGGGCCGGTCATCAGGACCAAAAATTTAATATTCTGAGCTTTTGAACTCATGCTGGAGCCCATCCTCAGGGAACTTCTCTCTAGCAGAATATCTCTTGGCATGATTCAGATATTAAGTA